TGTTTGAGAGTTATACCAGGGAGACAAGGCTCTCTTGTCCTAAGGCTCTCTTTTTCAGAGGAGCTACAGTATAGAGTGTAGAGTGTGATTAAAGAGGTGGGTGGGTTCTTTTAGATTTTGAGATTGATTTTAATAACGGATAATAACTGTTATTGACAGGTAATAACTGTTATTAATAACAAATTTAATGGTGTGGTTTTTATAGTATCTACATGGTTGTTAAAATCATGCACAACAATTGTTTTACCTGACCCCCTGCAGATGTGTCAGCGAGTGGGACAATTTGGTGTGTGAAAGTTACCGCTACCTGCGGTTCACTGGCTATAGGTGCCTGGCTAAGTACCCATTTTTCAAAGGTGCAAATCCCCAGTTCAATTATCCTGGCTCCCTGCAAATAGCCTACATTTATTACTACATTTATTACACTAAAGGAGGCCAAGGAGTAACTAAACATCTGAAATAAAAGAGCAGGAAAGTGCAGAGAAAGAAACAGTTGAAAAGCATGCTGTTAGCAAGTCGGCTATAAGCTATGCTAAACTAGCAAATCCCAAAAGACACAGTGAGTGAATGCTGTGACTATAATTAGTGAGTGAATCAACAGAGAGTGTGCTTTGGAGAAAACAAGTCAAAATTACACTATGAAATAAGATGTTATTTAAACACCTAGTATTCCAGATTGCCAGTCTTGCCCTGATTGTGTGTATTATTATGTACCTGCTTGTTTTTCAATTGTCTTAATTGTAGCAAAATAACCAAATTTTACCAAATATAAAGATCCTGCAGTGGAAAAGAGAAGAGTCACACAGAACACTCTAAATAAATGTCTTGATGCTCTGCTCAATCATCCAAGTAAGGAAATCCCCAAAATTTGATTCTGTTCATCTGGATGTAGTGTTTTCAGTGGGAGAAACTTTTTAATCACTCATCCAAGTGACGAGGTTTCCCCAACCTTATAAAGAGTACATTTGCATAATGACTGAAACTAGCATCACTGGCAAATAATAGGCTGTAAGGTCAGTTTCTTGATCATTGATATGTATGAAATGTATTGATATGAACTGTTTCACATCTGCAGATCTGCCAGGAGGACAGAGTAAGAATGGAAGAAACCTTTAGGATCTACTGGACTGAAAGTTTGTCTTTTAATTTTGTTGTTGCTGTTGTTTGTTTTATGTTATACAGAAAATGTATAAGAAAAGTTAATCTAATCTCCTACTGAACAGTAGTAGATTGAAATGTCTCAGATGTCTGCAGACTCAGATGGTATCAGCCATCAGCCACTTAACTGTTAGTTTGCTTTTGGGTTCTCTCAGCTTCAAGCTGCAGCTTTTCTATTGTATAACAGAGGTGTCCTTCGCTGCTCATTTGGGGAGCATACCAGAGGCGATAAATATCGCAATAAGTTAGAAAAGCAAGTTTAAAGAGTGAAGCAATGCTGAACGTGACCTAGTAGCAGGTGGAAGAGACCAGCTGCAAGTAATGTGGGTAGAGATGACTCAGTTAACTGAAAATACTGGAAACAGGAAAAAATCTAGTTCACCAGAAACTCACAGCATTACAAGGAATTCATGGAATAAAATATAATGTTCCTCATATAACTCTACTGGAGCGCACAGATCTCTAACCTCACTCTAGACGAATCCTCTTTTA